ACACACGCGCGCGCGCGCGCGCGTGGGTGGTTGGCGGGTGCTCTGATGTGGTTTGCTTCTTCTGTCCTATCATCGTCCTTATCTCCCCTCCTTCTTTTTTATGATTGTTACTTTCTTGTAACACCTCTAATCTTCTGGCGCTCATCTGACCTTATGCAGTTGCGACGCCGTAAAAATCCTCTACTAAAACACACACACAAAAAAAAACACATGCGCACACGTTCCTTCCCGCGTGGAACAGCCGACAGAATTCATCAGTTACCTCTCCCCGGAGTCCTCGCGGGTCTAGGCTACCCCAAGGCTCAGCCTGGACGTCCCCGCGCGGGGTCAGGTCGTGACCTCTCACCTCTCGGGCGCAGGGACAACCCGGGGGGAGCTGAGAGAGACGTGGTGTGGGTGGTTGGCGGGTGCTCTGGTGTGGTTTTCTTCTTCTTTCCTATCAAATATCTATCGTCTTTATCTCCCCTCCTTCTTTTTTGTGTTGGTTACTCTCTTGTACTTGTAACACCTCTAATCTTCGGCACTTATTATATATGACCTGCTTGTGTTGCTGGTGCCGTAAAGCACTTACTAAAACAAACGAAGGGCATGGCGTTCACTGCACAGTATGGGTGAAAAGTGACGTCACTGCACTGTTTGGAGGAACTTGGCGTCACTGCACTGTTTGGATTTGGAGGAACATGACGTCACTGCACTGTTTGGATTTGGAGGAACATGATGTCAGTGCACTGTTTGGAAGAAAGTGACCTCACCTCCGCACGGTATAGCGTATAGATGGACAAGGCGTTCTCTCTATTGCATGTGTAGAAATGACGTCAGAGCACTATTTGGAGGGAAATGACGTCCCCGGATGTGGCGTTCACTGCACGATATGGGTGAAAAATGATGCCACTGCCCTGTATATAGAGCATAGATGGACATTGAGTTCACTGCACAGTGTGGGTGGAAATGACATCACTACACCTTTTTTTTAGGACAATGACGCGACCTCACTGTTTGGAGGAAAGTGACGTCACTGCACGGTATAGAGTATAGATGGACGTGGCGTTCAATTCATGGTATAGAGTATTAGGCCTAGTAGATGGACATGGCGTTCACTCTATTGCATGTGTAGAAATGACGTCACACACTGCACTGTTTGTGGAGGAAAATGACATCAACGCACCGTATAGATTATAGATGGACATGGTGTTCACTGCACGGTATGGGTTAGAAACGATTTGACCTCACTGTTTGGAGGAAAATTACGTCACCGCACGGTATAGAGTATAGATGGACATGGCATTCACTCTATTGCATGTGTAGAAATGACGCCACTGCACTATTTGTGGATTAAAATAACGTCATCGCACGGTATATATTATAGATATGGACATGGCGTTCACTGCACAGTATGGGTGGAAAATAGGTGACTGCACTATTTGGATGGACGGTATGGGTAGAAGTGGAAACGACGTAAACATTGACTGCACTGTTTGGGTGAAAATGATGTCACTGCTCTAACTGGAGAGAAAGGGCTTCGTTGCCTTTTC